TAGATAGTTGTATGTCACAGCTGCACATCCTTCTAGTTGCTGTATGTGGGACGCGGCCTCAGCATGGCTGGAGAAGCGGTGCGTCGGTGCGCGCCAGGGATCCAAACCCGGGCCGCCAGCAGCGGAGCACGCGCACTTAACCGCTAAGCCACGGGGCCGGCCCCAGGGTCAATTTCTAACACTAATTCTTGGTAGAACTTCTTGGGGCTTGATAATAAGTTTCAACTAAGAGGTGTGCTGTAGAATTGAGGAGCCCAGGGCAAACTAGAAGAACACGGGTTTGAATCCAAAGTCCCACCTTTTATAGTTTCATTTCACTAGAGTCATGTTGCCAGATGAGGACAAGGCCTTCAGTCCCACTCATTTAATCCATCACTGATCCAGTGGAGAGCAAGGCAAATCATATTAGAAGGAACAACTGAGTCATGCAGACATTCAGGAGCACAAATCTAGTTTGAAACTCGATTTCTAAGCTGCTTGGCTTTAAAACTGAAAGGATTTTTCATTGTTTCTAGGTTTTAAAGAAGAAATAATAGCCTCTCCTCCATGTTCCTAAGCCATTTAAGAAATGGCATGAAAACGTATCTACTTCTCTGATGAATCCTTTTCCCCATGGGCTGTCTCTGGAATGTAGCTGAATGGATGTGACGGGCACCTCATCATGTCTAGTTGTTACCATGCCCCAGGTGGAGAAGGTACCACCAACTTGCTCTCTGTCCCAAATGCTCAAGGCATGGCAGCATCCCAGTCTAGCCAGCAACATTCCGTTTCACTATTTATATAGCATTATCCAAAGAATGGCAGCCTGTTGAATACTTTTTGATAACTCAATCATGTAAACCTAAGGCAGTACAGAAGTGATAATGTTTGTTACAATGACTACTTTTTTTCAACTCTGTGACTTCAAGGGGGTCCCTTTTTAAGTATTTCACTTCTTTTCAAACAACTGCTTTCATACCTTTGATGTTTCTTGATACCCAGTTCTTACTGAGTCCAGTTTAGAAGTACAGATATCTAAGGAAACTTGATCTTTCAAGTTCACAAATATATGCCATACCCTCACAGCTTTGTAACTTAGGCTCCTTTTTTAAAGGTGGGCCTGCCCCTAAAAGTCAAGAGGCAACCTAATTAACAAAGTTGATTTTACTGTAGGATTAGTCTTGAATTCTATTGATTCATTTCAGTCTTACAAGGTTTTAGAAAGTTTAAGACAGTTTCCTGATTCAGTACTCACTTAGCCTTCTATCAGTAAACTATGCCCATTATCCTTATATAGGCACATGTAGAAAAGTTAAAAGACAAGTAATCCAGAATGATTGCTCATCAGCGTAGAAACGCCAATTCCTTTCCTTCCATGTTCTGAAAGTCGTAAGATTTTGCCAAAACCAATGAGATGACATTCTAAAGGGGGAGAAAATTAGACAGGGTTTTAAGCCATTACAGTCTTTCAAAATATTTCTTTTAAACCATGAAGAATATATGATTAAATATAAAATATTTTTATATATACAGTTCATCAAATGACTTATGGCTAACTTGATGTTACTTTAAGTCTCTGATCCAAAGAAATTTACTAATAACTATAAAATATCTTGAATAAAAATTTAAAGAATAACTGCAGCAAAAAGATATTTTCCTTAATAATATATGTAGTAAAACAAGGGCAGACCAATAATGTCTTCTGATGGTGCTATCAGCTTCTATTCTGGGTACCAGCGAAATAGAGACATGCAACTATTAGGCTTAATGGTGGTGATTCTTTCAAAGTGGATATTAAATATAAGATTCTTTTTTTCCCCCCACTCTCTTCCTACCCTTGCCATTTACAACCATTTTTTACCTGAATCTATCTAGCCATACCCTCCATCTATAGATTAATCATCTATGATTAATGAGAAGTAGTACTGAACATTCTTCTTTTTCCAAGTAAAGTGCACCTTCTCTCTAGTACCTCTAGCTGCTCGTCACTTAGATCATTTTCTGGAGCCCACATAATTACCACAGGATGGCCATCAATCCTCAGTACCTGACCTTTTCCCTAGGCAGACTAACGGCCATTTAGTTCACTCGGGCCTCACCACAGAAATGACTCTGTGGAATATTTCACTGGCTGTGCTAGTGGTCATCTATCTCAATCCCTAGCTTTCCTGTCCTCTGTAACAGCAACTGCGAGTCGCTTTTAGCTTTCATTATGTAGCATGATACTTCTTGCACCAAACTGCTTTGTCTTCTCTTATCTAACACCTCTCCCTACTGGACATCACCTCTAGAATATCTGTCCAGCCGCTACTTCTGCTGGTCTTATTATGCGTAATTATAGTCTTGCTACTCAAAGTGTGGTCCATGGACCAGCAGCATCAGCATCACGTATCAGCTTTTTAGGAAAGCAGTTTTTCAGGGCCCACCCCTGAAGATGGTCTATTTAATCTAAGCCTGCATTTTAACCAGATCCTTAGATGATTTGTGCATACACTAAAATTTGAGAAGTACTAGTCTATAGTATAAACTTCTCATTGTCATAGAACTTCCACTGAATTCCACAATGTTTCAGAAAGAAGACAACAATCAACTCAGATAATCAGTACTTATCTCCCAACTGCTAGCTGTCCTTCCCTCAACTGGGAACATTCAAATTGTTCAGGGTTAATTCTTCCATTTTCTACATTTCCTTCTGAGTCACAGACAAGACACCTACTTAAGTACAATTTAAACTAAATGAAGCACTTCCATTACCACTCTTCCTTAAGCACACAGCATGACCATCACTTCCTCAAAATAGGCCTCCCTGACCCCAAAGTAAAGACTGTTACCTCATTATATGCTCCCATAGCATCCTATACCATAAGAATATTTTGTGTAATTATATAATATTTTGTGTAATTAACCGTTTAAATGTAAAGTCCACAAGAACAAAGGAGCTGTCCATTTTGTTCCCTGCTTTATTCTCAGTGTCCAGCATAACACCTTGCACACTGCAGGAGCTTAACAAATATTTGTTGAATCAATGACCTGCAATGCACAAGAGTGTTTGGGACCAACAGCAGGGCTTTTATCAAAGTACACACTTACAACGCAGGTAGAGGGAGAGACGATGCACAGGTGACTGGGAAGGGTGTCTGAACAAAGCAACATCAACAAAGATAACAAACACAGCTTCCGCCTGAAGGATTACCATGCACCTGCTTCCAACCTGTTCTTAGGAAGAAATGAATCGAA